TCATCACTCTCTACAACTACCTGAAAGGATGTTGTAGTGAGGTGGGGCTTGGTCTGTTCTGCCAAGTAGCAAGTGTTAGGGTGAGAGGAAACAGCCTGAAGTTGTGCCAAGGGCAGTTTAGATTGGTTATTAGGAAAAAAAAATTCACTGAAGGGTTTGTCCAGCACTGGAAGAGGCTGCCAAGGGAAGTATCACCATCCCTAGAGGTATTTAAAAGGCACATAGACATGATGCTTAGGGACATGGTTTAGTGGTGGACTTGGCAGTGTTGGATTAATGGTTGGACTTGATGATCTTAACTAAGTGATTCTGTGATAATGAGTATGTAGAGAGTCACAGTCATGTTTGGTGTGGAGAAACTCAGAAGCTAATTCCATTGAATCAAGTTAAGAGTCTGTAAGAGTCTGCCTTCTTGCTAAGCTGTGTCTGTTTTTCCTTCTCAGTCTAATTTTCCTTCTTTGATGGCTGTTTTTTGTTTGCTTGTTTTGTGTTTTTGTTTGTTTGTTTGGGTTTTTTTGTTTTAAATCTGTAATGGGGTTGCATCCCATCTGTTCTGTATTTTGTAAGCCTCATGGACAGGTGCTCTCCTCTCTTCATGTTTCCACAGTGCCTGTCAGGAACTCATAACTGAGAGTCCAGGATCTACTGAAATGTACTATGTACAGGAGTAACCTGGATGTCCTGAACTTCCTTGTCCAAAGTGTTAGCCATGGTACCACCAAATGTATGGTCAATTGCATGTGTAAGCTTAACTATTAAACTAATTGTGTGCACTGTAAATCAGAAATCGTGACCCAGTAAGAAGTGGGAGTTGCTTTGGTCCTGGGCAGCAATGTCAGGTTCCAGCACATCTCTGGAAATGGCTGAGCACTGCAGAATGGAGCCACTAACTCCACTCTTGTTGGCATTGAGAAAAAGCATCTTGTGGTCACCCTAATCTATGTTTCATGTCTGTGGCTTTAAATTATGACACAACAACTTGTTCTCTGTCAAAGTATGTTTCATTACCCAAGGAAAATCTTAAAAATAAATTACTGAAATGACTTATGGCTTCCACTTGGTACCATAGTACAAATGTAAACCTTCAGTACTTTTTAACTTACAGCAGCAATTAAAAGTAGACTGCAAAATCACGAAGTACTTGAGGTGGGAAGTGGTCTCTGAAGTTCACCTAGTTCAACTTCCACTGCTCAAAGTGGTATCAGCTAGAGTAAGTTGCTCTAGCTAGTGTTAAAATGGGTTTTGAATATCCCCAAGGGTGACCTCTCTTGGCATCCTTTTCTAGTGTTTGACCACTCTTGTAGTATCAGTTTCTCTGTGCAACTGTGTGCAGACCTCTGAATACTTCCTGTTTGCCCCCCTGACTGCATGCATTAGTGTACAAGCATTTCAGGGGCACCTATCTTGACGATTTTCCTGAAGAGATATGAGCACTCTACCCTGAACACTTTCCTGTAGACATACCCTCAGTTATGTGCATACACTTGTTGAGAAAAGAATTCAGCAGAAAGGAGAATAGGAAATAGTTGGGTGCTGCTGACATTGATATAAACTTCACAGTCTTTGACAAAAAATAAAATGTATTTGAAAGATCTCAACTGTCTGCTGTTGACAGAATTTGACTGAACTCATATGTGTGTATGTGTAGACACATATATATGCATACAGAGATGCCTAAAGAAAATACTTCTTAGGGAACAAAAATTGTTTGACTCTAAAAAGAATCCACTATGTGTATGACCCACCCTATGTAGGGTCATAAAACTGAAACATTTATACAGCATTTCTCCCACAGCATTTTAAAACTATGAACAGCAAATACAGAGTCAAATTCTGTACTCCATCTCTGCAATGGGCAGCTTATTACAGGCTGTGTTTTAATAGTCATTCTTGCACCTGTTTGTCAGATTAAGTGGTAAAAATGCTGACTGGATGATAATGCAGTATAAATTCTGGAAGTATTGGCTTTTAAAGTTGATCTTCAGTGGGATGCTTTTCTGTAGGCATGTGCATACATTAGATAACCTTGGCATGCAGAGAGTATTTTAAGACCCACATAATTTTGAAACAGCCTTTAGTATTCAGTGAGGGTCATTATACATTCTATGCACATAAGATCAGAAAGAGACCTTCAAGGCTTATTTTACTTCCCAGGGTAGATGCCAAATTTGGAGCCCACAATTATGTATTCTGTTTTCTGTATGACAGTTAAAGTTGCACAACAAGCTTTTCTGTGCTGTTCCACTGACGTCTGAGCCCTGGTCTAGGGCTACCACCTCATAGAGGTGCCAAGGAAAATAATACATACAACTCTCTTCGCATACTTATCTTTTTAGTTGAGATTTCCAAAACAAATGCTGCCAAATAATAGTGAATACTATTATGGATTCTGGGATCTTGAAGTGTGAGGTCAGAAAATTCACTTTACGGCATCTGATGCTACCAGTACTGCCCAGAAGCAACATGTTAAACCATAACTAATACTATCTGTAACTACTTCTGTTATAATTTTCTATTTATCCACCAAGAACACAAAAAATGTGTAATAGCTGCTTCCTTGAGCTTTGCTTCAAAGTCATTTTATATCCACAAAATAAAATACTTACTCAAGTATATATAACTCAGAGATTTTGTAACAACATGCTTAGAGATTTTCACATTGAGTTAGCTGCTTCCTAGAGGAAGGAAAAAGCATATGGAAGATTAGATTCAAAATAATTCATTGAAATGTAGATGGCCTCTTTATGCAGCAACCTGCTACATGGGGGAGAGAAGAAGTGCCTTGGTGTCAAAACAATGTAAACTACTTCTTGTATGTTGACTAGTGTAACAAGTGAGGCATGAAAACAAAAGCAGTGCCCTGAGTAGTGGCAGTGAATTTTTTATTAAAATAAAATAATATTTACTCAAAAAAAAGCCACAAGAGACAAAATCTTGAAAGCATATGTTGTGCTGACAGTGCACTCTCATTTTGACAGTAATGTTATTTGCAAGCCCAGCTGCACTCAAGCCTGTGCTGTAAAAGCATCCATTTCTCAGAGGACATGTTGTCATCTCTTACCCTTTACTGGTCTTTAACCAGACAAAGGATCTTTTCTCTCTCGTTCATGTTGCCCCCTATAAATGGACACTTAAACCATTTCTTTCCAAAGTGAAATGGGAGAGATTTTTGCATCATTACTTCTGAAATTTTCAGTGCTGAAAAGTGTCTTTCAGTGACTTTAGGGGTTTGGGATCTAAACCAGCCTTTCTCTGACTTCTTACAAATATCCAGTGTAAAATTCTAAAATTTAGTGGCAGGATCCTCATGGAAATGTTGAAGGAATACCTCTGCTAATGTTGTGATTTGATTGTTTGAGTGCAATTGGGAGGAATATTTAGAGGGTGACTCAGGGCTGTGAGTATTTGCCACTGTCTGTTAGAGATCGTTTTGACTTGTCTAATTAGTTAGTGAGTTGACTATGGATAAAGGAAGATAAAGCTCCGTGAATGTGTTTAAATGTCTGCTCTCCAGTTTTTCTTTGCACCCACTTGTTTGGTGTTCTGTCTAAGCTGAGACATGAGATTCAAAGGACATTAGAGAATGTTGCTTATAAATTATGGAGTTACTATCTCCTGGTTACTGTCCTGTCATCAATAGTTTCAGACAGTCCTTCACAACTTAGCTTTTTCACCTGTCTTTTGGCACCTTCTAAGTTTTCTACATCCACTGCTCAAGATTGTTCACCATCACTGCATCCATTCTCAGTCAAGGTGATCTTGTAGAGTCTCAATGGTCCTACCCTAATTTCTTATTTCCCACTTCATCTTTGTGCAATTCAGAATGTTTTGGGTGATTCACGAATGCAATTACATAGTAGTATTTCAAGACATCCTAGTACTGCTTTGGAGAGACAGCCTTGGAGAATTTGGGCGGAGAGCTTTAGATAAAGTGAGGAAACAGTGTAACAGGTGAAAAAATGTGTTCAGAAGATTGTGGATTGTGGTGTGAAAAGGAAGGGTAAACATAAGGCACAAATTAAATCCTGAAATTACACATAATGTGCATCATTTCTGCTAAATGTGAGCGGTTTGGTTCTGCATTATCCAGACGTAAAAGTAGCAAGCAGGTTGCTTACACCTCTGCTTCATTCTTAGGTTCAGTCTCTAGTGACAGAGCTGCTGAGCGCCCTGTCCGTCTCCCGCAGTCAAAACTACAGCAGAGCCTCCAGTAGCTCCAGGGTTCTGGGCAAGCTCTGGTCTCTGCTCAGACTCAGGATGTGCACCTCTCTGCAGGAGATGTCACTAGCCTGGATGGCAGGCACCCCAGCACAAGAACAAAAGTGTTTCTGCCTTTTAAAATTGGGGCTGTTCCGGTAGATATGCCCAATATAGCTTTAATCCATGTGCTCAAGCACCCAAACATGCTTAGGTGCTGGCTACTGGCTGGATTCTCAGCTCCCACATATGCATTGCTTATTGTACTTGAGCTTGCTGAATTTAAATTGGGAATTACCAGCATTTCTGCAATCACTGTTCTGGCCGTACTGTAGGTATTTATTTTATCCACACACTATTGGCATTTTGTAATAGAAACATGATGTACATCAGCCAAAATAATCCAAAAACCATATGTAACTAAGTTTCTTTATTAAGTTGCTAAAATGTAAATTGCCATTTATCCAAAACACCCGTTTTCCCTTCCCATTAATGTCCAGGATATAGCTTGAACCTCTAGAAAACAAATTTCTGAAACTTGTAATACACTGGTTTTGTTTCCATTAATGCATTGACTAAACTCTCTAAAAGTATCAATGTGGCTTCTGACCTTACTGCAGTTTGAATTCTTCCCCCAAGCTACTATCAAATAAAGATAGTTCTCAAATAATAGGAGAAAAAAATAATGCCATGGGAAAATGTTTCTTGGGATTGAGAGGATAGGACTTTTTTTCATCTGGCAATGCCCTAATTTTTTTTTTAATTTTAAAATTCTGTTTTACAGATTGGCTTTCTAGTCAAGCTCCAGATGCATACGTTTCAGTAGCCTCAACCTCCCTGTAGTCTCAACTAATGTTATCATGAAATGGCATTGCTCACTGGGAATGCAGATCCCGAGTTCAGCTCCTACTCCTTCAATAACTTGGAAAACCTGTGTGAAGTGCAAACCAAGAAAGGATTCTTCTACAAAAAGGCCAAACTTCTGCACCCTGGGGAAGATTTGTGCTGCTTATCCCACCTGGATGACCGGACGAGGTTTGTGATCATCAACGTAGGTGGTATTAAATACAGAGTTCCATGGACCACCTTGGAGAACTGCCCCTTGACCAGGCTTGGAAAGCTAAAATCTTGCAACAATTATGACGAAATCATGAACATCTGTGATGATTATGATGTTAGCTGCAATGAATTTTTTTTTGACCGTAATCCTAGTGCCTTCAGGACGATCATGACTTTCCTGACAGCTGGGAAGCTGAGGCTTCTCAGGGAAATGTGTGCTCTTTCTTTTCAGGAGGAGCTGGTGTACTGGGGGATAGAAGAGGACCACCTGGAGTGGTGCTGTAAAAAGAGATTGCGACAGAAAGAGGAGGAGGCAGCTGAGGCCAGGCTCTATGAAGGGGAGATGGTGTTTAGTGAAGCTACGCAACGTGCCTTCCAAGACAACAGCCGATTGAGTTTGTGCATGCAAAAGCTCAGGGATATGGTGGAGAATCCCCACTCAGGGATCCCAGGAAAGATCTTTGCCTGTATTTCAATATCTTTTGTTGCCATCACTGCAATCAGCCTCTGCATTAGCACCATGCCAGATGTCAGAGAAGAAGAAGATCGGGTGAGTGTCACTTTTTTCAGTGTAACGCATGTTTTGCATTGTTATCTCCTCAGGGAAGGTCAGGGCAAAGTCACTCCAGCAATCATGCAGATGTTGCAATCAGTATTTATCATGTGAGAGCTGGCTAGGGTAGAACACAAAAAGCATGATGTCACTTAAATCTGAAGAAAGACTGGGCCACTCTCTGCCTTGCCAGCACAGCTTTTCCAGTTACCACCAGTAGACAGCTTTACCCAACAAACCTGTTTTCTGACACCCCCAACCAAATGACAAACTAGCTTTTGTGGGTATAAAAGTCAGCCTTGCTTGATGCTTAAAGTTTTGAAGTTAGGGTAAGAGCTAACAGATCAGTTTTCCTTGAAAGTACTTTTAACATACAACTTTGAAGGAACTCTCAGTACCCCACTCTTTGTTCCTGGGTGGGATCCTCTACCCCACTTTAAAAAACAGATCTAAAATATTTTAATGCTATATGTGAGGTAAAGGGCAGGGAAACTGAGGCAGCATTTTAACAGCAGGAGTAAAGCAAAAGTCCCAATTTTCAGATATGCTTAGTGTAAGCTGTGGGCGCTTCATGCCCTTGAAAGTCAAGCCTTATGAATATTTTCTTTATTCTTTAGTTCAATAAGTTTCCTAAGGGTTTAGTCCTTATTTATGCAAGCTGTTCTGTTTCCTAGGATTAGCTGTATGTAGGCCAGTGAGACCTCATCTGAAGATTGGTAGAGGAGGACATTTTCATTCAGCATGTGCTGAAATGCAATCTAAGTGGTTTAGGGGATGGGTTCAAAGAACTCTTGGCCTGTTCAGTTTTACTCAAATCCAAACTTGACACTAAATGGGCTTATTTTCCAGCCCGATGGTCATTAAATGTGGTTATGAACTTCAGCAACTAAGTACTTCACCCTGTCAAGCTCTGCCTCTGCCTGAAGACTAAGCTCTCCTGAAAGCAGAACCCTTTGTGTGTCCTCACACGGGTGCTACACGGCTCATCACTCACTGCCACTAGTAGAAAAGAGTGTAGTCGTTACCTGGGCAGGAGGTGTGTACTGTTTAGTAGAGTTTAAGTAAAAAACACACTGATGGAAAATGGGTCCAGCAGCTCCAGAGAGACCACTACTCTTCTTGACTGAACACCTCGTGTGCAGTTAAACAGCTTTGTAAGGTATTCTCAGGTTAGATACCTGCTGAGTTGTTTGATTTGGAATCAGATTCATTCAGTAGCAGCCAGGAAAAGAAGATAAAACATCTGGTAGGTTGTTTGATGTTTGATTAATTGTAAGATCTTTGTTTTAAAGGCTTTTTATGGTCTAAAATTTGAGGATAGTCATACTGGGTACTAGTTAATGCTATATTGTCCTAATAATTTTTTTAAAAGGTCATTTCCAAAAGACATACCCTTTACTGTAATTAAGTAACAGTGTTGCAGTATGCTGGAATTTTAAGTACAAGGGATATATTTTACTGTTTGAAAACTGAAATCTATTTAGTGTTTAGATGTTCCTGGGCTTAAGTGAGAAATAAACAATTGTTTTCAGAATTACCAGAAGTTAGGCACTTTCTATTTTTACTAAAAATGTGAACATAAACAGGGAGTCATAATAATAGGCTAATAATATTTGTTGGGTGGAGCAAGGCCATAATGAGGATAGAGCAAGCATATGAAGGAAGCTTGGATTTCTTGGTAAGCTGGAGCCATTAAAAGGAGCACATTTTCATAGTCCAGTGCAAAATTGTACCGTAACAATGAATGTAGGCTTGCTCTTGCAAAAGCAAAAAATCTGATTCCCAAAATGAGATTCTAAATAAGATTTTGGGTACAAGCAACTGAACGTAAGTTCCTATTGCAGCGTAAAGTCAGGAGGGTTAGTGTTATCCTTGACTATCTAAGCTGGGGAGGAGTGCTTAGAAGCTGGAAGGTGATTTTGTGCCTCTGTGCAGCATTGGTGAGATTGACACAGAATATGCAGTTATCACATGCATTCAAATGGTATTTTTAAAAATCGGAGAGGGTGAAAAAAACCTATTAATGTTAGACACACAGAGAAAATGCCATACAATAAAAAACTTGAGCATTTCATTTTATTTAGATTATCGAAAGGAAGGTGAATGGATTAAGCAAATAAGTGTTTTTTGTAGGGGAGAGGAGAACTGTGTCATCGAAAAGACCTTTAAATTAAGCAGGGAGAGAATGCGTGGTTAAAAGCTGAGTTCTGTTGAATTCATGTGGGAAACTAGGTGCCAATATTTAATACCATGGTGATTAATTACTGGTGCAGACTAGGAAGAGAATAAGTGGATTTTGTATTTTTTTATGTTTTCACTCAGTGCCCTTCTGGAAGGCAGCCTTCAGCTCAAAACACTGTACTTTAATCAAAAGTAAAATACTGATTTTAGTGCAAGTTACAAACTTGCAATACAGGAGAGATTAGAATAAATAACCTTATGCTTTGCTGTGCCCTTAAATTCTGAAAAGTACAGAGCTCCTGCAGATAGGCTTTGTTCTGCCCTTTGCACAAGGAAAGTATATGGACAGAAAATGGTTATTTTGTTTGAGACAAAGGTGGCTCTCGAGCACAGGGGACAGGTGAAAAAGATCATGTTTTTCTTTAGTTTAGTCAATCCCCAATGTTCCTCACCTGCTACTGAATCAGTGCAGGTCAGCCCTGTATTTGGGTTGTGATTAGTCGTGCCAGGATCATACACGGTGATTTTGGTTCCACACAAGTGCATGTAAATACCCATGTGATCTTTTCAGCCTCGGTAAGGCTGGACAAGGAGTCAGGTATCTGCCCACCTGGAATTGCTCATAGGATCAGAGACCTAGGCTGCAAACTCCTTTGTTTGTCATCTGTACATGTCTTAGCAAGCTGATGCAGTTCATCAAATGACAGGTGTGGAGAGAAGAGAGATTATGTGAATGAAAAGTCATGTTAATCATCTTGAGCTGTATCCTTAGTACCTAGTTTAAAATTCGCACCCAGGGATAGCTCTTTAGCCTGGTTTTGCAGTCTTCTAACAAGTGGAAAATTGATGTGCATCCCTCCTGACTAGGGAACAAATAAACAGTAAATACTATTTCAAGGACACACTATACTTGGTGTTTCCTTGAACTCGCATTCAAAAACTTTGCATGCCACCCATCTGCCCTGTTACTGCTTCATGAAAAGAGAGAGGAACTAGTCAAGAGAAAAAAAAACATGCTGGAGAGCAATTTTTCATACCCAAGTCCTTTAATGTCATCTGAACAGACCAGCTTTTACACCCAGTGGATGTCCTGCAGATGTGTAAGTGACCTCACACACATCTAAGTGTGGGACCTTAAAAGTTAGAAGTAATTACCAAGTGGGTGAATAAATTATTTTAGATGCCTATCTCATAAAATGCAGAAGAAGAAACAATCATATTTTTTGTTAATTTTATTAAGTGCTTCAGATGTTCTAGATGACAGTGGAATCCCTAGAGATTTAGCAAGACTGGGAAGGATTAGATTCCCATGTACTGTTGCTGTCTTGTTCTTACTAATGGTCACTCCGATGCATCTCAGTTGTGGCTCTTTTTTAGAAATATTATCATGTATTTCAGATGCTGCACAATTGTCAATAAAGCTAACAGAATCAGATTCTAAACTAGTTTTTACTTACCAAACTAGGACATATATTTTATCTTGTCAATTTTTTTCTCATTGAGCTTTTATTTACTGATTAAATTAAATAAAAGCTACCAATCTAGTAATGCCCAGAATAGCTGCTTCTGGAAATTTCAGGAAAGGGACGCTTGAAATGTGTAAAGAAAACAAACCTATGTAGAGAGTCAGTTCACAGAATCATAGAATGCCAGGTTGGAAGGGACCTCAATGATCATCTGATCCAAAATTTCCAGGTAGGAACGTGTTTTAGATTAGTTCTTTCATGTAAAGAAACAAAGCAATAAATCATTTTTAATTTCAAAATGTTTAGAATGAGAGTTTTCTATGCAAGATTTAGATTTAATGGTGAAAAGTCCCGTTGTAAGGCAAAACACTGCTGAGACAAAATCATAGCAGGAACCCTCAGGCACTAAGTTATTTCAAGACCACCACAAAAATTATCTCCAAGACATAAAAATAGCCAGAGATATAGAGTTTCCTTAAGGCATTTTAGGCATGTTACTTTTAAGTGGGCTTTTTAACTCTAAACAAATTACTAGCATCAAGTGACTCAAAGAAAGCAGCTAGTACATCATGGGAGTCTTATGCCAGTTGGGGATACGTTACAGCAAAAGCTTTACAACACAGTAAGAGCTAAACAACCAAAAGACATTGAAAATTTGAACTGAAAGCCCAAAGAAACAGAAATGCTGACCATTTCTATCTGAAGAAGAAAGCTTATTTCTTTGGTTAGACAGTCTTCCTCATTGCAAGAAAAAAAGGTGGTGAACTCGGAGATTAACATCAAGCATTTTGTCCTGCTTCACAGCATTTATAGGCTGTTGTGGAGAAGAAAATTGTTTTACCACCCAGTCCCACCCAGGAATGGGGCATGGGAAAAAGGAGGGGAGACCTGTGGATTGAAATGAAAACAGATTTAATATAATCATCATCATCATCATCAACTAATATTACTTCCAATACTAATATAAGATATGAAGTTATGCTCAGCTCCAAATGGTAGTCATGAGTTGTGTGCTTCTAGCAGTGAAGACTGAATGCCCAACACTGCCAGCACGACAGCTCCAGATGGGACCCTCTTGGGAAGGCAGGCATTGTGCAAGATAAAACATCGCCCCAAACTTCCCAATATATCATTAGGGTGATGATTATGGTATGGAATACTTCAGCTGGCTGGCTTGGGTCAGCTGCTCTGGGCTTCGCACCTCCCAGCACATGACCCATGGTTTGAAACTGCACTCGACCTTGGTCACTACAGAAATCCACGTAACAAAATCTCTTACCTCTTTTTTTCTCACCTACTTGGACTCTGCAGCCTCTCAAAACTGCAGTTTCTCTCAACAGAAAGATGATT